GATTCTAGCGTTGTAAGTCCGCAGACATACCGCTGTGCCACTGGGGGGGGGCTGTTATATAATATTCCTGAATCAGAAATAATGTTACCAAATCACTCTTTCTTATTTTCATCTTAATTAGAAACTGCTGTTATTGAAATAACTTAACAACCTAATTTCATTTCAGATACAAACTACTATCTAATATTTCGAATCAGAAATAATTATTACAGCATGAATCTCACAGCATGTTTTTATCTGAAATACAAACTACTCTTTAAAGATCCCAAAATAATTGTTACGCTAACTATAGATTGAAAATTACCTTACTTGGCAGGGTTTAACTCTTAAACCTGAGACATACCAACTCGTACACCAGGGAAAACGTTACATATTATTCACAACTTATGGGTGTAAACACAGACGTAGGTATAGCCTTTAGGTATTTCTAGAAATGTTTAGTCTGACTGTTTGATTTACTTTATTGCGACCTAACTTAAAAATTCTTTGTTTGTTTTTAAGTTGAACTACATTTTAGTTTTTAATTATAAGCATTGCCATTACCGACTTGTTTTGTTTAAGTTTAAGCGCAAAGCTATAGAAATTTTTATATACACTGTGCCCTGAAGGGATCGAACTCACAATTTTAGCCTTGTAAGCATTCAAGCTTACCCATAGGGAAGGGGGTAAACAGACTGAAAGTTAGTTGAGCAGATGCGTATGTAGTTCGTTTCTAGGAAAAAAGCAGCACGTCAACATAAGAAATTTACTAAAAAATACGAAATAAGTTAATAACCTCAGAACTGAGACTTCAAATAAAAGTGTTTGAACGTCAATTATCGTAAATTCCGTGTAACGTAGAACGCTATGGGCAGTTTCTAATAATACATTGCCGTAACTATACAACGTCACCGCTATCACAAATAAATGGCGGGTTTATATATTGATATCTCTATTTCAGACTTGCAGGTTTTGTAATAGACAACTAAAAGTTGAAATTAGGCTTCAATGCTATACGAAGTAAGGGCCATTTTAATGCAGTAATTTTTCAATGAAAATTTTTTAAACACATACATTAATGGATGATTTTGTCATCGAATTTGCTAGAAATTTCACAAGTTTTGTCATTTAAGATTATTTACTATAACCAAGAACCAAAGTAGTTAAATGCAACAGTTACTCCCGGGTAACACAGACCATTAAGGTATATGTTTTAAAATAAATGCAACAGTTACTCCCTGGTAACATAGAACATTAAGGTATGTGTTTTAAAACAAACACGACAGTTAGTCCTAAGTAACACAGACCATTAAGGTATGTGTTTTAAAATAAATGCAACAGTTACTCCCGGGTAACACAGACCATTAAGGTATGTGTTTTAAAATAAATGCAACAGTTACTCCTGGGTAACATAGACCATTAAGGTATGTGTTTTAAAATAAATCCAACAATTATTCCTAACATAGAGTACTCTTGTAAGACTTTTTACAGAATTTAATTTTCTCACCACATTTCTTAAACGTAGTTTATATGCATCTTTCTTGCACAAGGTATTTTAATTAGATTTTTCACAATTTTTATATAAAAAAAGAAGCTCCTAAGGGAAATATGTTACAGAACATTAAAACAATTCATTATCTATTTCCACCAGGGGTTCGTCTTAGAAGCCTATATAAAGGGTAAAATAAAAGTTTCTCAAAAACTACTATTTTTTTTTCAGGCCTACCTGACTTAAGGATGTATTGTTGTAGCCACGTGTACAAGATTATCAAAGTTCATTTCACTTTTGAATATCACCAAAAGTCACCTATGTCTTTGGACAATACTCAATAGTAGTACTTCAGAATTTTGAAATTGTTATTTCAAATACGATGTCAAAAGAAACTTGATTATTTATACTATCTACCATTTCCTCTTTACCAGAAAACGTTTCTTCTAACATGCACAACAATCGGTTATAGCAAAATATCACTTAAAAAGCCCATTTAAAATACTTGGTTGGAAAAAAGTCCGAATACATTGACAAATAAACTCAAACTCCAAGCAAGAACTCAGTTTAAAATTGTATATTTTTACCACTTACTATCAAAGCAATAAATATTCATTGAAATATTGAGATACAGTGGAGTTCATAGCTGGAAAATGTGGCAGAGGCTTAGCTGTCTTATTTAACATAAGAACTGTTAGTTGTAAACCTTATTATTCTACAAAGTTTTCAAATCTTCATCAGAAAAACAAACAAACATAAATGTACAAATATTTAGTGGAATTGTCGTTGTTTTGAATATTCAACTTATAGCAAGTTCAAACTGCTAAAATCTATTTTTTTACAGAAAAACATACATTTTATTACCAGAAAAATTATTATTATTTACATAAAACTATAAAACTAAGAGGACTTAATACATCTGTTGTAACGTAGTTCAATGAAAGCTCGCTAATAATTAGAAAGTTCTACGGAACTGATTTTCGAGGCGTACGTAGCTGAAATCCTGTGAACGTTTGGCCAGTAAACCTTCACCAGTTTCAAACCTTTCTTTATTATCATATTAATGGTGCCAGGAGACATGTCTAGCGTCATTGCATTGTTTTTTAGGCTGGAAGGTTCTCTCTTTCGTAATCATACCTTATTTGAATGAAAGCGTTGCTCAATATTGACTTGAGATGTGGTTTCAGAGCTTGTTGCTGTTCTAAATGTCCTGCTTTGGGAATTTTTCTGCTTCCACGGGGACCACCAAATGCTCTCGTTTTCGAAATGTTATGTTCTTTGGCTGAATATCTTTTAGCAATCTTCTAGCTATATAAACATCCTTCCTCTACAAGGGCTGTGACAACATTTTATCCACGTGACAATCCTATAGTTCGCCATCTTACTAATATATAGGTGCTAAACACGTTGCCATTAGCGTCACGGTGACATATCACTATATTAGCAGATGCATATGATTTTATAAAGTGTAATTAACAACTTGTATAATATATAAGTTAGATAGCAAGAAAGCTTCATGCATTTTAAGATTTAAACTATCACGTTGGTTTATGAGATATAATATTTCTCGATATAAAATCCAGCGTTGCAGCATAATTCAAGACAAAATATCGTTGTTTTCTAAACTTTCTATCAACTTTATATATAATTTACGACAAAATTTTCTGAAAGTGATTCAACTATTTCACGTTTGTGTTTTTCACAAGTATTTCTGTTTTAATGAATGGTTAAATCATATCAATTAACCTCTAAAAGGAAAGAATACGAAACTCATTTTTATCTGGCAACAAGCTAATTATGTGTTTATGATGTTTTTCGGGCTTAAGTTGTCTTTTAATCACCACAATGTAACTATAGATATTATATAGATATTTGAAAATTACATACATTAATAGTAATATTATTTGGTAGATGATTTAGACATGATGAACAAACAAAGTTGAAACGGGCAGCAAGTGCCTAATTGAGCGTGACACTTGTAGAGAAAGTCTTGGAGGACTAATTTACAAAAACGGCTCAGGTAGAAAGGACGAAGTTTTGAAAGTCTGAAGACGAAATTTTGTTCAGCATTAATAATAATTGCACTTATTCCCCTCCATTATTCGGCTGTTAAAAATAATGATAGAATATTACCAGATATCCTGGTAAATCATAATAATAATTGAATTATGGTATTGATCCGTGATTAGTCGGGTTTTACGAACTCAAAAGCCAAGATTTTGATCCATAAGAAGTAATTACAGCTTAATTATACAGAATCAATAATGCAATGTACATTGTTAATTTAATTCGGCAAATTAAACTACTTATAATAAATTGTCCTTTGAACTAATTTGAAAAATAAAACAAATTTCTAAAGCTCATGTTATCCACATTCCAGAATAATGAAAATTTATATATTTACCTTTACAGACTCTTAAAAATAAGTACAAATTCAAACAGAATGTATTAATTCTATATGTATATGTTAAAGATTTAGGTTATTATATGGTGAAGTAAAACGGACTATGGATCTGTTAATTAAATTAACGTAACTAGAAAAACACGTAATTGATGTTTTTAATATTATCATAATAAACTATCCAATTCACAAATATATGTACGCGACTGGACTTAATAGTTGTTTCAGCCGTACAGTTCGATACTAGGTATGTATATATGATCTTGAGTTCAATAAGTCTTTCTAAAAATATATTTTAATTTTCCTTACAACCAGTAATACCATTTTCTACGAGCAGAAATGCTTATCAGAGAAATTTTACACTTATTCCGCTCCAACTTATCAGATGAGTCTTTCTTATCCTGGTTCACCTTATAAGAAGAACCTTACACTTATTCTGCTTTAACTTATCAGAGGAATCTTACTTTTATCCTGCCTCAACTCATCTGAGGAATCTTACACTTATTCCGCTGCAAGTTATCAGAAGAAACACTCTTATCTTGCTTCAACTTATCAGAGAAATCTCACACTTATCCCGCTTCAACTTATAAGAGAAATCTTACACTTATCCTGCTGCAACTTATCAGAGAAATCTTACAGTTATCCTGCTGCAACTTATCGGGTAAAAGCTCTCACTTCTCCTGCTTCAACTTATCAGAGAAATCTCACACTTATCTCGCTTCAACTTATAAGAGAAATCTTACACTTATCCTACTGCAACTTAACAGAGGAATCTTACAATTATACTACTGCAACTTATCAGAGAAATCTTACAGTTATCCTGCTTCAACTTATCGGGGAAAAGCTCTCACTTCTCCTGCTTTAACTGGTCGGAGAAATCTCACACTTATCCTATTTTAATTAAAACAAAAATTACCATGTCAGATCCAGCTGTTTTACCATTCTTGCAAACTTTTTCTTTAAAATCGGAAAACTTAAACTCTGGAGAAACATTGTACATTGTACATTGTTTTGCATAGCCACAGAAACAAAAATGCCACAAGAGTTTATCCTATGAGGCAGAGGGAGGTTGTCTTGTAGCGATTGAGAGAGACTTGCAGTATGTGCATGAGAAACTGGGATTCCGAAGGTTAGCTACGGTGCTATTGATCGACAGTGGTACGTCTCCTTTGATGTATGGATTTACCTCAGTCTGGACTTTTTTTCCTACGTTTCAGTTTCTCTCCAATGATCTTAGTGCCATACGTAAGCACTTAGAATCACATGTCGAGCAATATGCAGTGGAGGCCGAATCCATCAGGCTTTTTGCTTTTTTCCCCCTCTCCTATACAGTTTCTCCTTCCCAGAACTTGGATGAATGCCACATAGGGTCTATACATTGATCCTAATTCGTCAGTTATTCATGATTAATCTTGCAGATTTCGCACACCTTTTGATAATCAGCTACGTTGGTACGAGTAAAACATGCGTTGCTTATCGTGATAATATCGTGGTTTTTGGAATAGTATAAAGAGACAATGTCCAGCGAGAGTTATTTGGAACTTATTCCAGTTGTCTTTCTTTCTCAGAGCACGGAATGAACTCTATTCTAAATCTATTTATTTACTTATTAGGCGTAAAAGAGTTGGTATTTTACATTTAAATATCACTTATTAATGAAAGTAGTACATTCTAGATCAGTAAAAAGGATTTTATACCTGATATTAATAATACAAAATTTATAATCAATGCAACTAGAATAACTGAATTCTTGATAATAAGTATAGACCACATGCATACAGATAAATGTTTTCGACTTTGACGCTAAGTAATTTTGCAGTATATCTCATGAAAAAGCAGAGAGATCCTAAACATTATTAATTTAATTTAAAACTTGAAAAAAGGAAATATTTTTGTAGTCGAGTGTTTTTCGAGCTTTTTTTTATATTCTATTGTATTTTGGGGTCTTTGGTTTACCTAAATTTTCACAGGTTATTAAAAGGTAAAGGTTTTCTTTCGTGATCCAAATAACACTAAGAATGACAACTTTTTTTTTTAAACGCCAGGGACTTATCTTACCAACTAACAGTCTGAACGACCAGTGACTTTATCTCACTAACAAACAGTCTAAAAGACCAGGGACTTATCTTACCAGCTAACAGTATAAACGACCAGTGACTTTATCTTACCAACGAACAGTCTAAAAGACGAGTGACTTATCTTACTAATTAATAGTCTGAATGGCCAGTGACTTATCTTGACCACTAAGAATCTGAACAGTCCGTGACTTATCTTACCCACTTACAATACATCAGACGTTAAGAATAGTAGCAGACTTAAACAATATAATATAGAGTTATAAATAGCCTCCAGTTTATTTTTTTTAATTACCCAAAATTAGCAAAGTTAATTTATGAAAACGTTTTTAAATGTAATAAAAACAAGCAAACTTTTAAATTTTGGTAAAATTTGTTTGATTCTTGGGTCAAGAGAAAATGTTTTCCCGTAACAATGTTATGACAAAAGTCTCTAAGTTGTTTAGTTTCATTTTATTGTAAGTCAAAATTTAACTTTCTAGTTTGAGCGGTTTCATATATATAAAACACTCCCTCCCCAAAAAAACTATTCGCAAAATATTTTACGCGAATTAATAATTTAAAAAAACATTGTAAAATACTGTATGCGATAATAACTGTTTTTTACTCATAAAAATCAAAGCACCCACAATACGATATTATAAACGCAATTGGCCTAATACATGATAAACACTATAAGCCTAATACATAAAAAATACAATAAACAAATCGAGCTTATTTCTAGCTAAA